ATTGTCCATGTATTCAGTAGCACGTAGTACTGCCGACCCTGTTTTGTCGATAGCGTTCTTTGCTATATCCTATCAATGTAGAATAAAAATTCAAACAACATCAAGGAACTTATAAAAAAACTTAGGCCAGGGGTGGCAAATCACTGGCTATAAAACTCACGACATATTTTGGGCATATCGAAAATCATAAAAACATTGCAAAAAAATATTTAGTAGATGGAAATGACGTTAAAATCGCAGTCAAAATTATTCTATCGCACGACAAAGACCGCATTAAACGTTTATTAAAAAAATGTCACTTTAATGCATAAATGTTTGCCACCCCTGACTTAGGATATATAACATTTTTTTAAATACTTCGACCGCATCAAATTCTTGTAAATTGTCTGATAATCTAACTTGTAAAATGTGATAGCAATATCGGATATTTTTCTCCTATCTGACATTAAGCAATCCGAGCCTCTATCAGCAAGTAGTGGGACAGGCCCTTAATTTAAAACCTTTATACTCTATACTATTATAATAAAGCGTAAACACACACTTCTTTGTTGCCTAAGATGTCAGCAATTACACCATATTTTTTAATAAAAAGCCCTACACTTGCGTCACGCTTTAGCTATATATTTTCACGCCATTAAACTTAGGGGGTAAATATTTTGGATAAAAACCCTAATGTGGGAAAGAGACCATAAGTTGCTGCCAACATCAAGGAAGTAAGATTGTCAAGGTTTGTCATGTCATTTCATTTTGACATTTGCTATTGATAATTTGACAAATGTAAACAATAAAATAATTTTTTCATAATTTCATGCGAGTGAAGCCGCACGGGAACAGCTAGTAACAATAAAACTTACTTTGAGCATATCTCTAACAGCTAACTCCGCGTTCTTCTGTATATGCGCCATGTAAGCCTGCACGACATCTAGACCGTACTGATCTATCAGTTCTGACACTAACTGGATGCCCTGGATAATACTAATATTATAAATGTGACAGTTTAGATGGATGGATGGATGTTGGTTGGAGTTTGGCTAAACGGATGAACCGATTACAATAAAATTTGTTATTCTTATAGATGACAGTCTGGTAGAACACATAGGCTACTTGATTTTTTTTTTAATTCCACGCGGATAAAGTCGCTGGCAAAAGCTAGTATTATAATAAATCTGTCAAAAATATGTGAAAAAATAGAAAAAAAAACGAAAAAATTAAAAAAAAATATTACCATCTGATATTTTTTTTAATTTTTAACTATTTTTAGTATCTTGTGATTTTTTGACATTTACAAGTTAAAAAAAGCTATTATAATTTAATTTCAAATAATATCAGAGAAAATACATTTATTGAAAGAAATTTTTAAATGAAAAGATCTATACTAATATTATAAAGAGGAAAGATTTGTATTTTTTGTATTTTTGTATGTATTCGATTCACGTCAAAACTACTGGGCCGATTTTAAAAATTCTTTCACCATTAGAAAGGTAATTTATCTGTGAGTAACATAGGCTATATTTTATTATTACTAATGTTTGGGAGGAGGAGAAATCTGTATTTTTGTATATATAGAAATAACCCAAAAACTATTGGAATGATTTAAAAAATTCTTTCACCATTAAAAAGCTATGTTATCACTGAGTAACATAGGCTACACTTTACTTTTTTTTAATATTACGCGGGCGAAATCACGAGCAATAACTAGTTTAAATATAAAATAATTTTCAATCAGTTTTTTTTATGAAATTACTTACTCTTTGGTTAGCAGCAACTTGTGCTTTCAAGTCAGATAAGTTATCCGCTAAGTTCCTAGTGCCGGAGCAGCCGGGCTGTTTGCTTGGTGCCATTAATTCTGAAAAAAAAAAATAACCAGTTAACTATGGGTTTCCAAAGACAATAAATATTAAATTTGAGAATCGAAACAACATATTTTACTAAATTATAAGTTCCGTCTTTTGTATGAAATAAAATATAATGCGAAAGTTTAAATGGATGGATGTTTGTTAGACGGATATTGATGGAATTTGGTACAGATGTAGAGCATAGTCTGGAACACATAGGCTACTTACTTTGTTGTTTGTTAAATTCCAGGCGAACGAAGTCGCGGGCGAAAGCTACTATACGTACATTTAAAAATTATTTAATGACAGTTGCCAGTAAGTCAATTAAATAATTTTGAAATGTTGTGTCGATCTAATCGATAGATGGCGTTGGTTTCAAAAACATTTCGACTATAATTTTTTAATCTATTTTATTCTCACCTTCTATAAGCTTTTCTTCGTTAAATCGTCCACCATCAACTAAGAGGAATGATTTAAAAGCAGCGCCCTCTTGTGCGAGTGCGGTGGAGTGCGGCGGCATGGAGCCCGGCGTCAACCCGCCGATGTCCGCGTGGTGGCCGCGAGACGCCACGAAGAATATCGGACGATTCGATGATCTGGTAGAAATACATATATATTAATATAAAGAGGATACATTTGGATTTTTATATGTGTTGAAATAAATCAAAAACTACTGCGCCGATTTCAAAATTGATACACTATTAAAACGCTACGTTATTAGTAGCAAAGGCTGTATTTTTATTTAATTTAAAGTCACGAGCCACAGCTAGTTTTTACAAATATAATTAAAAAAGTAAAGCCCATTTGATTTAAGTCTTTGAAAAATTTCTTCAAAATCGGTTGAGTTGCTTCGGAAACTAAACATCCATACATCCATTAAGTGAGTAAGATAGAGAACATCACAAACAGACCTTAGGATTTTAGGAAGTAAATTCCATACAATGCGGATCTTATTTCATTACCTTTTTAAAACCACAATATTCATTAAAACATTATATGCAGAGAAAACCAGTAAAACAATAAACTTACTTATGAAAGACGGGCGTTATGACAGTCAAGTCGGGCAAATGCGAGCCGCCCGCTTTGGGATGGTTGGCCAGCAGCACGTCGCCTGCCTTCAGACTGTCGCCGCGCACTTTCATCTGGCAATAACAACTGGCATAAATTTACTTGCACTTACCGATAGATGGCGCTGTTTTCATTTTTTAAATTAATCAGTTAAATGAAGTTTAAGTTATAAAAATTGTTTAAAATAATACAGAAATGCTGTATTTCCATACTTTGTCCTGTTTTGGAGTTATGTAATTAATTGAATCGCCTTCCTTACTATATTCTTGATCAGTAAATAGATGTAATATCATCTATAATATATAAATATTATAAAAAGGAAAGATTTGCTTTTTTGTATATTTTGATTTTTGTATGTATTCCATTCACGTCAAAACTACTTGGCCGATTTTGAAAATTCTTTCATCATTAGAAAGGTAATTTATCTGTTAGTTACATAGTTATTAGATACCAGCTTTCGCCCGCGACCGTCCGCGTGGAATTAAAAAAAACAAAAGTGAGTAGCCTATGTCTTCTACCAGACTACCCTCTATAACTAAACCAAATTTCCTCGAAATCCGTTCAGCAGTTTAGGCTACAAACTCTAACAAACATCCATTTAAACTTTCGCATTTATAATATTATAGTATGATTTTAATTACCTGATACTGGACAGTTTCCTGCATAGCTCCTAAATGTACAGGAATATGAGGTGCGTTCGACACCAGCCCGCCGTCGGGGCCGAACAACGCGCACGAGAAATCTAACCGTTCTTTAATATTCACTGATATTGATGTACGTTGCAACACTCTAGAAAAAAAACCATATCTATTCATTTGTAACAATTTCTACTAGGAATTTAAAAATAAAAAATAGTCTATGTTTTTTTTATAACATAAGTTGGCAAACGAGCAAGCGGCCACCTGAAATCGCCAAAATGGAGAAGCGACCGCTGCCCATAGACATCCACAATTGCAGATGCGTTGTCTACCCTTATCTTAAAGAGGATATTTCCCCTTCCTATGCATCTCCTCCACCGTCAAATCCACTTCCTCTTCCCAACCTCTCTTTATAAGAAAAGGGTGGTAAAGAAAAAGGGTCTTAAATTAGGCCTCCGGCACCACACTCATTAGACGAAACACGGAATTGCTTCCATTTGACGGCTGTCTTGTGTGTGGTCGTGTATTACTGGAGGCGAGCCGGCCCTGCGTTGCTAAGATGTTAAAGCGGGCACTACCACTGTTAAATATAGTAAATAAATAAATATAATGTCTTCTTCTAGACTATGGTTTACATCTATACCAAATTTCAGCAAGATCTGTTAAGCTTTGGAGTTATTTAGAAACAAACATCTCAACTTTTTTTATATTAGTAAGAAGTAAAATCATTCCTCTCATTCTCACATTGATCTAATATTAAGAGAAATTTGTATTTTTGTATTGGTATAACTCAAAAACTACTGACCCGATTACAATAATTCTTTCACCATTGAAAAGCTATGTTATCGATGAACAACATAGGCTTTATTTTTAGCTTCTATTAGCAGTAAAAAAGTCATTCGTCGTAAAAACTGTAGAGACAATCTATCTATCTCTTTCTATCTTGTGTATATCATAATGCACATTTTTTCGCAAAAATATGACGGATTCGTCAACATTAAGAAAACCATTTTAATAATATAGCTGGTTGACTTTTGGCTATTTGCGTTGTTATGTAACAGGACTGTCTTACTGGCATATCAATTTTCAGCCAGTGGATCCTCACAATCATTATTTTGCCAGCTTACTGTCCAACTGGTCAAGTGTAAGCAGAGTTAGTGACTTATTGTATTTCTATTTTATTCATTCAGTCGTTCAATCGTTCAATCGTTCAGTCATTCAGTCATTCACTCACCTTCCCATTTGTTCAGCGATCGACATAAATCGATGTGAGAATATAGTCAGTTGTACTGAATCCAGTTCCTCTGTCACTTTCTTTGTTAACCCAGAACCAACTGTTATACGGATATCGCCGTATTTCGTTATCTCCGCGTGACATCCTGAAACAAAACACATATATAAGTAACTTGAATTTATGTTATACTAGCTGTTGCTTACATCGTCCGGGTAGAATTAAAAAAAGTATTTAAGTGAAAACGTAGCTTTTTAATAGTGATTTTTTTTTTTTAAATCCGTCCACACTACACTGTTATTTCTATGAAAAAGTAGCGCTAGTGTGCACTTTCTTAATTTTTAACTGTTATTTCTATGAAAAAAGGGCGCTAGTGTGCCCTTTCTTAATTTTTAACTGTTATTTCT